AGTTGTAAACTTGTAGTCCATATATCAGCAATTAATTACCAGCTTTAGGAATTCATCCAAGCCCTACGTGCCCTCAAGAACTTCCTGCTAGAGTGTCTAATGGCTAACAAATCAGCAGACTCAATATTTGATGAAGTTGACATATCACATATGGGACATGAAGATTTATGGTTCATGATATAGTTGATTTTATAATTTCTATCTTCCAATTATCTCAATTCATCATGATATTTTCTGTGAATGTGAAAAAACAATGATGACAGACTTTAAAAAATCATCTCGTTGTTCATTTTTTAGAAGGTCGTGAGACAAATTCGATATTTGGAGCCACTGTTAAACTGTCACTATCGTTTCCTGTATGGACTTATAGTCTTAAGTCATTTTAAGACAATTATTGACACCCCAACATAGTAGAGATTAAGGCTCTCCCAATGATGACAACATATGGAGCATTATATACCTGGAATAGTTCAAAATTGAGCCTCTTGAGCATTAAATTGTGAGAGCTGTCATTTGATATCACAGAGCTTTTAATGTTCTCCGGTGCATCTCTAAAGAACTCTTCCTCGGGAACAAGTTCAATGTCAGGGTACTTTGACTTGAAATCCTGGCAAGCCTTAATGGCTTTGAGATAGTGACTTTTTTCATACATCAAGTTGTGAAGCTGCAGTGTTGTGAAGTCCACAGGTGCTTTTGCACGCTCCGTTTCGGTTTTTACACGATCTTCCTCCAGCAAGATGGCTCGATTCGCCTGTTATGGGACATTATGTGCAACATATATATGCAAAAATGGTCAACTCACTGGCTTTGATTGAGCCAGACTGCTCAATTGCTTAGCTTGGTAAGTAAAAACCTAGGTCACAATCTAGAATCAATGCCATTGTTATTTTTAGTTTGAAGAAAATATACACGTAGTATTTTCAACAATCTCCTTACACGTTATATAGAAAATTTTAATATTCCAGCAGATTCACTTCGTCTAGTAGTTTATGATGAATTCTGCAAAAAAAAATATCAATTTTCATTTTTCAACCCAAGAACAGCCTATTACTAGCAATCATGTTAATCCACTGCTTCCAAACTTATATTACGACTTCAATTTTTATGGAATAAGCTCAATCATGAGCAGGATTTCATTAGATTATACTACCAATATCGACACAGCTCCATGATTCAATACACCTCACTTGCTACTCCATGGTAGACCTAAGAAGATCATATGCTGAAAATCGTAAGACCGACCTGACGGAGGGTGACAAAGTTGATGAGAATCTGAGTGACGAGCTCCCGATACTCAGATTTCGACTTGCCTTCCTTCTTAATTGAGAGCATCGATGAAACGATCTCCTCCACCGAAGCTTTGCTCTGCCGGAGAATCTCGTACGGGCACTTCTCCGGCTTCCTCTCGGGCAGTATCTCGCCTGGCTCTGCCATTGTGGCGTCCATCCTCTTCGGCGGCGGCGGTAGGTAGGTCGCTGCCGCAATGGTCTGACTCAGTTTCTCCTCCGACGCATCCCACTGCAGTCTTCAACACAGCTGACGTATGGGTGGGCATCCGGATTGGATGGGCTGTATCCGAATTTTATTTCGGTGATTCCGAGTGTCCAAACTCAGTTTTGGATTTGGACCAATTAATGAATTATTATCGCATATTTTGTGATGGCAGTATTTAACTTTTGTGTTTTTTTAATATTAATTCAAATCATTAATATTTTATTCAATATCTTAACACTCATCGAAATGAAATTTTTAAATAATGTCTTAAAAATAAATTTGAAAGTAAAAAAACTAAAGTACGAATAAAAATTTGAAATTATATCAAAATATGAGTTTTATATTTTTATTTCTAAAATAAAAGTTAAAAAACTTTACATTATATATCAATCATGGTCATGTATATTATCAAAAAATATATTAAAATATACATACACAGTATCACATTATCATAATGCGAACTTCTATTTTAAAAATAAAAATATGAAACTCTTATTTTGGTATATTCTCTCTGATTTACTCTTATTTAAGATGATTTTTTAAACTTGAACTAGTTTTAAAAATAGTTTTCATTTTTGTTTTAGATAGAAATAATTTGAAATGTTTGAGAACGTATGATTTCAATTGTTTTAGAAATGACAAAGCAATAGATTATGCAGACGCCCGAAAGGCAAGGATGCCGAGATTGACTGACGTTTGGTGGTTATATACGCAAAATATTTGCATTGTTCTAACATTTACTTTGGTAACATTTACTTTGGGTAATTTTGAATTCCACTTCTACTATTATTGTATAGCGCTCTTTTTGTTTAATATTTGAACATAAAAACTTTTTTCTGAGCGCAGAATCATAAGTTTGAATTTTTCATTGAATTGATTCTTTGTCGTAGTATTAGAGTTGTTGACTAAGGAGTTGTTTGTTTCAGCCTCTTAATGGTTCAGCTGTCTGAATGGTTCAGCACTTAATGGTTCAGACTGTTTGTTTCAGTCTCTTAATGGTTCAAATGTCTGAATGGTTAAGAGATTTGCCTCTGAATGGTTAAGTATTATACATAGTCTGAATGGTTAAGACCTCTTATCTGAATTGATCAGACATTTGCCTCTGAATAGTTAAGCAATATACTAGCTCTTAATGGTTCAGACCTCTTATTGGTTCAGCACTTAATGGTTCAGACCTCTTATTGGTTCAGCACTTAATGGTTCAGACCTCTTACTGGTTCAGCACTTACCCATTCAGAAGTTGCCAAACAGCCCCTAAGAGATCACAAGAATAAATTTCACGGTCGCTCAACTTCTAAAAAGTGAAAGTTCCAAATGCAAACTAAAGAAATTTAAAGTTATGATAAGGGGAATTTGCCTAAATAAGACTAAAAATAAATTATCTCAATATATGACCATATGTTTTATTTCTCAATGTAGGACCATTGGTCATTATCCATTAGTCATTATTCAAGTAAATGTTCATCAACCCTGGACATTATTTCTCTTACTAAATATTATTAGATACTATTTAGAGAATAGAAATATTTAAATCCAACATTGAGAAATGATTTATATTTTAGTTATATTTAGAACAAATTTCACTTATGATAAATCGGCTCATTAATATTTAAGCTAATACAAGAAATATTAGGACTTGTAATGAGTATATTGAGAATAGCCCAAAGCCCCAAATGTACAAGCTGGGCCAATATACTAGATTAATCATGTAACTAATTACGCTAATAGGCCCATGTCACCAGAGTGTGTGGTCCATGTGGTATGGACTATGGATCGAAATAATCCAAACTTAAAAAAATGACTAAGCATTTTGTAGTGAAGTCCAAGCCCAATAATCACTCCATTAAAACTTCGTCATTCATTGTGGCCGTGTTTGGAAAACAGCTTTTCGGATAGCTTTTGGCATCTTTAACTGACTTTGGCTTTTTTGACTAAGCGAACAGCCAAAACCATTGTTTGGCTAATGGCTTTTTTACTTGGCATTTTAATCCGAAAAGCCAAAATCTGAAATGCCAAGAGGAGTAACATTTGGACTTGGCTGTTAGGAAATTTATTTTTTTAAAATCATTTTTCTTGAAACATATTTTATAATATATGTAAAAAATAAAAATAAAAGTTAAAAAAATTAAATACTAAAAAAATAAAATTTCAAATATAAAAATTTCAAAAAAATGAAATGAGAAAATAAAAAGTAAAAATCATTAAAAAGTTGTATATTAACAATTTCTTATGAATTAAATGAAAGTAAAATTTAATACTCCATATAGTAAAGATTTAATTTTTACATGTAAAAAAATGAAATATAAATATCCCGTGTGTGCGTGTGTCTGTGTGTGTGTTTGTCTACACACACACACATAGGAAAAACTATTTTCAAACAGCTAATTTTACCAAACATTTTTAACGATCAGTCAATTCATCTTACCGGTCAAACCAGCTAAACTAAATAGTCATTCACAACAACCGGCACGAACTGTCAACAACCAATAGCTGACAGCCAACATCCAAACAAGGCATGTGTGTTTTTTAAAGACCTTTGTCATTAGTCATGACAATTAATTGATTTCCTAATTTTATTGCTTTGTTTCAAAAAAAAATTGTAAAATAATCAAATGGGAAGAGTAAAAAAATTCATCTTACCGATCAAACCAGCTAAACTAAACAGTCATTCACAACAGCTGGCACGAACTGCCAACAACCAATAGCTGACAGCCAACATCCAAATACGGCCTGTATGTTTTTTAAAGACCTTTGTCATTAGTCATGACAATTAATTGTTTTCCTAATTTTATTGCTTTGTTTCAAAAAAAATTGTAAAATAATCAAATGGGAAGAGTAAAAAAAATTGTAAAAAAATAGAATGCGAAGAGTAAAAATAATTACCAAATATCAGTAACTCACTATTAGTGAGACAAGCAGCCACAAGTGTTTAATAATCAAATATAATCAAAGGTTAAAGAGCTGAAGCCAACATCCAAATACGGCCTGTATGTTTTTTAAAGACCTTTGTCATTAGTCATGACAATTAATTGTTTTCCTAATTTTATTGCTTTGTTTCAAAAAAAAATTGTAAAATAATCAAATGGGAAGAGTAAAAAAAATTGTAAAAAAATAGAATGCGAAGAATAAAAATAATTACCAAATATCAGTAAATCACTGTTAGTGAGACAAGCAGCCACAAGTGTTTAATATTCAAATATAATCAAAGGTTAAAGAGCTGAAGCTACTTGTCTCACCAACAGAGAAGAACGAACTTGTTAGAAAACATCTATTTCAATAACAAATTTTATCTCCATACTTATATTTCGTTTTTGTTGGGTAAATTTCAGTAATGGTACCTGAACTTTAATTGGAATTTCGAAGTGGTACCTAAACTTCAAATCCTTTCACAAAAATCCCTGAACTTACACAATCCTTTCACTAATGGGTCATTAGCCCGTTTCTAGGTTAACTTCCGGTCATTAGGGCCAAATTCGAATTTTATATATTTTAAAATTTTCAATTTGACGCCATTTCTTCTTTTCTTTTCTTCCAGACCCCGCCGCCGCCGCCCGCCGGTCAAAGTCGTCGGAAAATGAACTTTTTCCAATTCCGGCGGAACCAATGTCATTCTCTTCGTCTTGAGACGAGGATCAATAATATCCAAACCATTTTGTCTAATTTGGCTTGTAACTTCTCGAATCTGAATTTTTCTACTCGAAAAACCCTAAAATTCGAAATTGAGTCCAAAATTGGGGGTTTTGCAAATCGTCATCAAATCTTGCAATTGAAGGGTCCTTGGAGGTCGCCCGGATGCCACGACCGCATTGGAGTTGGTGCCCGCCGTCAATTTCGCCGGAGTTGGCCGGAAAACGCTCCGACCCGCCGGCGGTTTCCGGAGCGTCTTAGGGGCTGTTTGGCAACTTCTGAATCGGTAAGTGTTGAACCAGTAAGAGGTCTGAACCATTAAGTGCTGAACCAGTAAGAGGTCTGAACCATTAAGAGCTAGTATATTGCTTAACTATTCAGAGGCAAATGTCTGATCAATTCAGATAAGAGGTCTTAACCATTCAGACTCTGTATAATACTTAACCATTCAGACATCTGAACCATTAAGAGGCTGAAACAAACAGTCTGAATCATTAAGTGCTGAACCATTCAGACATCTGAACCATTAAGAGGCTGAAACAAACAGCCCCTTAGTTATGTATCTGGTCGTTTACACTTTCTTTGCATTAATGGGAATAATAATAAATAATAAATGTGGATTTTATTTTCTACATTTTATGTTCAAGCATATTTGTTTACCTTTTAGTGCATTTCATTTGTAAAAAAATTGTCATTAATAGCAACATGTTTTCGTCTATCAAGTATCAAATACTCCCTCCGTTTGCAAAAAAAAGGTTCCTACTTTGATTTGGAGCCAAAATAAGAAAGTGTTAAATTATAGTTGACTTCCAATTTTGTCCCTGATGTAATAAGTAAAAGTAAGATGTGATGAGTAAAAGTAAGATGTGATGGATAGATTATTAGAGAAAAAGTATGATGTGATAGGTAGTGTATGAAAAAATAAGGGTAAAAAGTGGTTTTTTAATAGAAAGTGGAAGTGTTTTGTTGAAAGTGAAAAATGAAAGAGGAAGTGTTTTTGAGAACGGAAGAACTAAGATTTTTAAGGTTAGTTTTTTTCAACCTTGAGGATGGATTACATAATGGCTCCCATGCATGTGTTATGCATTTTATTACACGGAGCCGGATTGGGCAAAGAAGAAAATTGATCCAATTGGATAAGTGGGTTTTTGGTTGGGCTAATGGGTTTTTGGTACCCGTGAAGACGTTAAAAGCATGTTTTGAGATATGTATTTTGACGGCTTGTCATTAACTTTAACCACGATACTTTATTACCTGGAACCTATAAATATTGATTAAAATAATATAGTTGTAAATTACGAGTTCTCTTACCTATAGTCTTGAACTCTTAATATCAATTAAACATTGGTTAACACAATAAACATTTAATTTATGTAATAGATGGTATACATTAGAAAACGTGAGCATTGAGGCACGAATTATTTAGTGCAAATTGTGAAGTTAGTTTTAAAAAAAGACATAATTCAAAAACATTTTTTTGAAAATATACTAAATTTCCGTGGCTCTATGACTTAAATATCTATACTCCTATACAAAAGCAAAAGAAATGGAGTGGAAAAAATAAAAAAATGAAAAAAAAAGTTCCCGCCCGGCCAGCTCCAAAATAATAAATGTATGACCTTTGCTCTTCTTTAATTTGTTCATTGAAAAAAAATAGTTATCCGTGGCCAACAATAGTAATAAATGAACCAATTAATTTTGACTCTTAATTGGTCTTTTTGTTCATTGCTTCTCCGCCGTTTGTACTTCTGTAACACAGACTACTTATATTTTTTTCTCTTCTTTTGTTCCTTTCTTACGGGAAGAAATTTAGTTGAAAATGTGAATTATGATAAGTTCAATAAATAATTATTTGTGGGTCATCTATCTATATTTATACTACTACCTCCGCTTCTGAATATTTGTTCAGTTTTTTTGTCAACTATTTTCAATTTTTGACTATAATTAAATAAAATATTTATTACATTTTAATGAAATAAAATAATATTTTGAAAGTATTAACATAATAAACATAAGAAAACTCTTTTTGTATCAATATCTAATACCATTTTTATTTAATTTGAAGTTAAAATTTACCAATTTTGACCCAAAAAAAGTTGAAAGTGGACAAATACTCAGGGACGAAGAGAGTATAAACAAGAGTAAAAGAAGTATGGCTTAAAAAAGAGGGGAAAAAAATTCCGCTCAAAATATAGAGGAATGACCACTGTTGTTTGCTTATCCCATGTTAATCCAGAGAGAGAATATAGAGGGTCTCCATTAATTACTCATGGGAAAGTTCATCCGCCGTCTCATTACTCAAAGTGGAGGCAGAGACTACGTCTCGATCTCTCACCCCAGTGTCTCAAAAACGTCTCATTTTTTGGACATCCCGTGTAGAGATCTGTAGAATAGCACGTAGGGTTATCAGCATAGATTCAGATTCAACGTTGTTCTGATGATGGTTACTGGGCTCACGGCGACGGACGAAGCTATAGAATGGCGGACGGCCACGAAGAGCGGACGGCCACTAAGGCACAAGGTAGTGTAAAGATTGACTATTTGTATTTTTCGGAATATTAACCCGTTTTTTATTTTAGGGAGCAATGTATGTGTTTATTATGCTTCTCAATAGAATCGCTTTTATTTTTGTGGTGTGGAAATATTATACTTCTTTTTTTTGGGATGTTTTAGCTTATTAGTGCTTGATTTGTAATGCCACTTTTATGTCAAAGGTGGTACTTTGACATGCCACGTAATATCCCGTTATAAAAAGTATTTGTGGCAAAATTTGATGAAAAAAGTATGTGGCAAAATTTGATACCACAAAAAGTTAAATTTTTTGTAGTAAATAAAATCTTAGAAAATTATTCAATTAAATGATCATCTAAATAAATATGTATGAACACTAATTTTAGATATACACAAAAATTATTTTTATTAATGTTTGAGCCATTGAGGTATTATGTTATATATATAAAAGTATTTAATCCTCAAACAATGAGATTTTATGTGAATCACAATGTATATCATTCATGTATATAATTTTTACTTAAACATTGAAAACTTAATTATTTTGTAATTTTTATTTTACAACGAATTTTTTCCCGTGCAACGCACGGGTATGAATCTACTAATAACAAACAAACACGAGAGTCTGGTTATTACTCCCTCCGTTTTTTAAAACACTTCCTCTTTCATTTTTTTCACTTCCAACAAAACACTTCTACTTTCTATTAAAAAAACCACTTTTACCCTTACTTTTTCATACCCCTACCTATCACATCATACTTTATGGGCAAAATTGGAAGTCAACTACAATTTAATACTTCCTTATTTTTACACAAAGTCAAAATAGGAACACTTTTTCCAAACGGAGGGAGTACTTGAAAACAAAACTTGGGAAACACGATGAAATCCCTAAGCGGAGTAACACCACCGCTGGGGTTCCATCATCGCCGTCTCCTATTTCTGTTCCCTTTCAATCGCCTCTTCCACAGCAGGATTCACCTCACCGCTCCCCTAAATTACTGTGAAGAGTTATGCTTGGGATAAGAAATGTGTGGTGCGGAGAGAGGGGGCGTGTAATGTGGGGTGCAACCCGAAACATTTTTATTCCTGGGATCCGCAAGGTTTGGACTAACATTTACGGTTCCGATTACGGTGCACGTCTTCCTCTCAAAGGTTAGAGTTTTTTTCTTCTTTTCAACGCCTATAGTTTTTTAATTTTTTGGGCAAAAGGTGTGCATATGGTCAATTTGATAGAATTGATAGTATATTTTGATATATGAAAAGTATATTTAATTACAATACAAATTCATTATAATTGGGTTAATCTTAGAATATAGTTTTGATATATCAAGTTTTATATTCCGTATCATTTATCTATATAGATTATGTTTAATTTGTGGTCAAAGGGAGTCACTATTTGACCAAAAAATCAAAACAGAAAAGGTTTTTAGGACCCGAGGGAGTAGTATTTTTTCTTTTGCATTTTCTAATCTTTGTTTATACTTAGAGCACTGGTAATGGTCATGAAGCCTCGGGGCTTCAAACTTTCTCTCTCTGCCACGTCAGCTTTAACTTACACCCAAAATTCACTGGAAATGATTTTGAAGCCCCGGGGCTTCAAACTGGGGCTTCAAACCTTCATTTTTTTCATTTTTAAATATACATCTTCTAAATTTAAATTTATAAATTTAAATTAATTTATTATTTTAATTAATCGCAATGACACTATTGCATAAAAAAAATTAAATTCATTATAAAAAAATCTTACATTCATTAAAAAAACATTAAAAAAAATTACATTTATTAAAAAAAATTACATAAAAAAACAACAGTACAAAGAAATCACTAATTATTCGAACGACTAAAGATATGCTCGATCAAATCCGCCGTTAGTGCATTGTGAATCTCTCGGCTTCGAATTTCTTGGAGGTTGCGTCGTTTCTTTTCTTCGGCGATTTCTTCGTACATAGGCACCTCCTCATCCGGGTTGTATTGACAAATCGCAGACCTGTTATCCTCTATGATCATATTATGAACAATAATACATGCGTACATGGTATTCCTCATTTTTGTTTGAGAATAACATTTCGACGGGCGATCTAGAATGTGCCACTTAGCCTTCAAGACCCCAAAGACTCGTTCAATATCTTTTCTCGCCGCCTCTTGAGCTTTTTGTAGGTTTGGCGTTTAAGACTAATTGGTTCGGAGAGAGAGATTTGACAATCGTGGAATAATCCGGATATATTCCATCAGCCAAATAATATCCGCGCTTGTAAAGCGTCCCTCTAAGCTCAAAAGAGAAGTCCGGTGCGGTCTCATTGACCCAATCGTCAAAAACAGGCGATTGATCGAGAACGTTGATGTCGTTGTTCGAGCCCGCGACACCGAAAAAAGCATGCCAAATCCACAAGTCATTCGAAGCAACAGCTTCGAGCATGATGGTAGGCTTGGGATGATCTCCCCGGGAGAATTGACCGTGCCACGCAGTGGTACAATTTTTCCATTCCCAATGCGTGCAATCAATACTCCCAAGCATGCCGACAAAGCCGTGTTTAGCGGCATGCCTCGCCTGCAACAGCTGGATGTCGCTCGTTGTAGGCTTGCGTAAATATCTTTTATGATAAATTTGAATTATAGCTTTTGAAAATTTATAAACACAGGACCTGATGCTCCGAGCAGACATCTTTAAGTATTCGTCGAACATATCGGATGCCGTCCCGTACGCCAACTGACGGAGCGCGGCAGTGCACTTTTGGACGCTACTAAACCCGCGTCGGCCTCTCGCATCAAACCGTTGGTTGAACCAAGGAACCTCGCGTTCANACAGGACCTGATGCTCCGAGCCGACATCTTCAAGTATTCGTCGAACATATCGGATGCCGTCCCGTACGCCAACTGACGGAGCGCGGCAGTGCACTTTTGGACGCTACTAAACCCGCGTCGGCCTCTCGCATCAAACCGT